TTATCCCTTGTTTGGATTGGAGACTCTATTAAATGAAAGCACCGCACTGGAACAACCCCATCCACCAGTACATAATCTTTTATGAGGTTATTACGGCTACGACCATTCGCTTAGACCTGACATCTAGACCAATTCTGAGTGCAAATGTTTCAGCCTCTTACATCAGCGAGCCTGCAGAGCGAATAGTAAATATTGTGCCAGTACATCAAAAGATAATATCTGGAATTCATAAAAGAGATTAAATATTCCCCTGCTGCTCACATATCGCGAGGCCGGTTGATTCTTAGACAGTTGTCAGCAAAAGAATGTGTTCTGACTCCTCTTTATGCAAATCAGATACAATATTAAGTCGTATTGGGAGCGTTATTAAGAATGCAGCACCACACTCCTTCATAGCAAAGACTTAGGCCTACACTGTTTCTCTTGTTCAGACGTATATACGCTCGCTGTTGTTTGGTCTGAGGAGCGCTAATGCTCTACTGGTTCCCCGTGTCTACAGCCCACAGTGGTATAGCTCGCTGCTCCCACCTCCTGCTGACAAAGGCCTTTATTGTAAATGCGGCTGGGTTATAATGGCTTATCTGAAGATAGGAGCCCATTAGAAGGCAGAGGTCATGGCGTGTTGCACTAAGCTCTATACCGCTAACCAGGGATGTCCGCCGATACGGCCCAGAATATTCTCAAGCACTTGTCCCCTCTGCCTCGTGCCCTTTTGTGCGTTCATGTGTCAACCCGTTTCAGAAATTGAATTAATTGTACAGGCAAAGCAGTAATATCTTTAATAGAAACTTTCAATCTCTCTTGAAATGATTAAGAGCAGGCGTCAGATGATGGAATGAGAATACAATGGGTTATTCTTAGTTCTGTTGAATGTGGAATAGAGGGATTTCATGAGCAAGAATCCTGAGTGAGGCGGAGAACAAAATGATTAAGTGCACTTACAATAGTTTCTGAAATTATTACAATATTTTTTAGTTCAACCAAATTTCAACAAATGTAAGATTTTAGCAAAAACCACTCGTTGTCTTTCCCTTGCTTGAACCATCTTAGGCCCAGGCCCGTCTAAGGACACAGCAGAATATAACGTGGTCAGATGGGACTATGTTTGAACATTTTGGTTAGAAAGTTTCATCCAAAGAACATGATACACACTTTGAAGCATGGGGGTGGAAACATTATGGTTTTGGGTTAATTTTCTAAACCTAACCCTAAGGGGATGGGACAACTGATGTGCCAAATACATATATTCTCTACTGCTCTACTTTGGTTGGGCTTCCTGCGTTGTTGATGAATATAAAACGTACATGAGTTATGGCATTAGCCCGAAACTATCCACACCCTCACGATTTCATCATTTCCTTTTGTCTCTTTGTCCCTCACTCAAGTCGGAGTAGACTTTCCTCAAGCGCCACAATACCGTGTGATAAACATCTTAGTGATATTTTTGTTCTCAAGGCAGAGATAGATGACATATTTCAGTCAGAATCATCTTGGGAGCAGTGTGCCTGAACAATAGCTTGTTAATGGGCTTTTAATGCTCCTTAATGACTCTCGCTTTGCCATGGCGGTGATTCTGTTCATTTGTAGCAGGGCACTCGATGAGGCCAGAGAAGTAAGCAGCAGAACTAGCACTTTACTGTGTATGCTTAACACCGCACAGAAGATTTGGAAGTAAATGGCTTGTCCTATGACACATGAGTGGCTTTTGTCACTCATTGTTAGTAATCCAGCTAATACAAACGCTGATATGGAGTAGTCACCCAAACAGTCTGATACTACTACTCGTAAAACTAAAGTTGAGATACACCGAGAATACACATCTCCATAAATAAGAAAAAAATTTGATTTAGCATATTGCTCAAACCAGTTTAACTATTTGATCATGCAAAATAATATTAACTAGAATGAGTAGGCTAACTGTTTTATTTTCATTCCAATACTTGACAGACGCATGGTTTATAGTTCCATGTAAACCTGAAACAACACTTTTCTGTACGTTCTATGCACAATTTATATTCCTGTTTTTTTTTTCTGTCAATTTTGGTTCGCATTCTGAGCTTTGGGTATGTAACGACCGGAAGAACAAGTGGTCGAATTGAGTTTCCTCCGCATAGTTGATGGAGACTCCCTAGAGATGGGGTGAGAAGCTCAGTCAGATGGGAGGAGATTGGAGTAGAGCCAAGTCTTCATCTCAAGAGGACCCCACTGAGAAGCCTCCTGCTCCGGGCATGTCCCGCTGGGAGGAATTGCTGGGGGAACTATGTCCCTCAGCACGATTTGGGATTCATCTGGCCATTTCTCCTTAAATTTGACATTGTCATAAAAGCGGATACAAATTTATGATTGATTTAGTAACAACATAGAATTGTGTTGTTTATAAATTGTATTAATTCACTTCTTTCTCTGTAATTTCCTAATTTGACCGTGCCCACTGCTTCCACATCACTGACCATCCAAGTCACACTCTAAGTTCCTACTGAAAGGTCAATATAAAATCATAAACAGGACAAGATGCTAAACTCGACTCTAAAAATAAGACCAACCACTTTTCCCCAAAGCCACGTTGTAATTTCCTCGTGAACTCTGATTGATTTCTACAGTGCTCCTATGGGGGCCGGTGCGGATCCATTAGCGGTTTTTAGCCCACCCTCCTGTGATCAGCAGAAGCACTTTGGAGCACCCACAGTGAGATGCCTGGGCTGCCGCCTCAAGCGATACTGCTGATCTGTGTGGTTTGTGTCCGCGGTCGCCCGGCACAAGAATAGTACTCTCTGGCCTGGAATGTGAACTGGTAAACGCACGGGATAGAAAGGAGGGGCGCGCAAGTCGGCTCCTATTAATACTCCATATCTTATCCTCTTTGAATAGTGCCAGAGTATAAGCCCCATCCCGCTGTTTGTGTGGATGTATGGGTCTATGGGTGTCTGAGCTCCCCGAAGGCTGCTGAGGTAAGCTTAGTCCTCATCATAAAACGCACAGAGAATTCCCATGGATAGAGAAAATAAAAGCACTTCTCTACTGTGCCATGGGGCCGCCGCCTTTTTTATCCTAGCTCAGCCGTGGTGGAAAATGTACACTCTGTGGAATGGTAACCTAATATGAGCCGATATTGATACAGTGTTACATTTTTTGTCCTTGTATATATTCCTTATACCGAGATAATTAAGGCATGATGGGGAAGGCTGTACCAAATTGGAAATTGGGCATGTCGGATTGTGAAAATGTATATCCTCGACCAATTCTATACCCACAGCACTTTGAATTACATACAGTATATAACAGTGAAAATACCTTGAGCTAGACTTCAAAATGGACTTCTTGGTGAGTCTTGCCAAAATCCACTCGTCAATCTTGTAACCTGTTACGTTGCACTAGTTCTGTGTGTAATTTCTCCTCATTTCATTAGTTCTACAGTTGTTTTTTATGCAATGAGTATTCTTTCCCCACTTCTGCAAACTCCAGACCTGGTGGCAACTCATTTTGAATGTCACCATGTACCAATCTGTGTGCGTCCCTGCTTGGCCTCTGCCGCATCGTCTAAAATAGCCAACTTTTATCAATGAGAGCTCTATCCCTGGGGTCACACTCAAATTAAACGAATGAAATTGGACCAGGCCATTCGCCATCACCTCTGAGGATGAATAGTATTTCTTTCACGGCCCTGGTAAAATGCAAAAGGCAATCCGAACATGTAAATCTCACTGACATGTTTCCCCGAGGACCCACGTCTTCTGTCTTAAGATGTCTCGCTGTCCCTGCCACATAAATCACCGTGGCGTTTAGGCTTGCCAGTCGCGTCTGCAAGCCCACACCTTAATTAGATTTTGTGCCTGTCTTTACCCAAGTTTAATAAGACAAACTCCTATAGCTGCCAGCACTATGATTATAAATTTGTGTTGGAGACATTAATGAATCAACATCATATTCTACCATTAAGTAACTTTTTCAGCAACTTGCATAGACGTTATTATTGAAGCTATATGTGCACTAAATCTATAAAAGCAACTTGATGCATGTGTGCCTAGATATTGTCAACAGCAAGCCACTGTGCATGGGTCAATTCTTCACCAAGGGCTTCCCAGCCAGGGGTAAAAGGACATACATAATTAGCATAAATGAATAATAACAGATTGAAGTGGATTTAAATTGATTAGAATAGTTATTTGTATTGCTGAATTGTTAACATGTTTCTGTGGAGTAATTGTGGGATAAAGGTCATTTATGAGCAGTCTAATGTACTATTCAAATGATTAAAGCTGGAGTACCTAACTTGGAATATCCATCTCAGCTCTCAAAAAGTTTTTGGCCTCTGTCACATCTTTAGATCAGCACTTCCAGAATCAGCCAATTGATTCTAAGCCCCAAGTGTGGAAGAATAACTCACAGGTCTCACCATATTTTCTAACAAGATAAAGATTGAGTTCTAACTTGTGCACAATTTGTTTACAAGACTCTTTCCATTGGAACAATACATATGTATTATCCCTAATTAAATAAATACTGTGCAATGTGCAATACCGCAATTTCAGAATATCCACTGAATGTCACTTTATCGTTACAGCTAGCTAAGAAACATAGCAAGCTACTTGTGTGGTGTATTGTGTATTGCTCCCTGTACTGTCCTAGTGTATGTGCGCTGCAACATTTAAATTTCCCCACTGTGGGACGAATAAAGGATCTCTCAACTTATCTTATGTTAAGAAATGGGTACCTCAGCTTTAATAATGAATGGCAGATACTGGCTACGAGGAGTGTAAAACAAGGTTTACAGGACAACCAAGACTATAAGTTTGTAAACACACTACACGCCCTATTGTTAAAACGACAAAACTAACATGATATATTGACGTTGGCTGTTTTGCTTATTCCGTCGTTTAAAGATTATAGTGCTAACAATCTGTTTTTTTGGGAAAGGCAAAAATGTTAAAGACGACACGACCTCTTACTACACTGCTCCATGTTTTGAGCTTTTCCCAAGAGATTATTCTGTGTGTGTGCAGGAGGCGGAGTGGCACTGCGATGAGTTCACCAAGGGAGCCTGCTTCAGCCGCGGCAAATCAGAGGTGAGTTTAAGTGATGGCGAGGGATTTGAGCTGCCATGTCACCGTAGTACTTTATCAGACGCTTGTCACCGCGGGAAGAGACCGGAAACATGTGCCTTTGTCTTTGGATGCTCTGAAATCCAGTCACGCTTTAGGTTTTTACTACAACCGTGTCAAGGGAGACTGGAGTCTTATTGGTTTTGTACAAAGGCATTCATTTGAACACTGTCAACTGCTTAACTATGGACAAAAGAATGTATAATCTGGAATACAAATAGATCTTAGGCTTTATTATTTGCATGGTCCCAAATGTTTATTCTTACAACTAAATTATTATGAAAGGATAAATAATCACAGGATCTGCCACATCCAGCTTCAGCCTACACTTTGTTCTCACACATCTACTGTCTGTACTGCTGAAATACTTGGTGTTGAGACCGACAATTATCAGATCAAGCACGAGTCTGGAAAAAAGAAAAATCAGACGATAGGATTATGGCTGAGAGGTCTTCATTACAGTATATAAAATTGACACCTGCAAATTGAGAGTGTGATGCTTTCTTTGAGATTTTGAGCATATTTTCCTGCATCTGCACCTTATTTAGGGTTTTATTATGTGTGTTACTTTATTCTACAAAGAAAGTTTAAGTATGACACATTCAAGTTAAGTTTTCTCAGTCTGTTTATGTCTCAGTTGTGCTGGGCCAAAGTATCAGACACAGAGTCCATGCCATCCGATCAAACTTCGGAAAGTCTGGCCATAAATGTGTTTTGTTACAACACTTTTTTGTGAAAAGAAAACTTAAAAGTTATTCTGATGTGTAAAGGCTGCAATAAAAGATCAAACATCAAATTACAGCTATTTACCATGATAAATAATAAAGACTAACAGTTATACTGATTAAATGGTTACCATGGCAATCCAGCGTAATGCTAGAACTGTAATAGAATGGAAGTGTGATGCTATGTCATGATGTCATGACTACAGTGTTGAATAGATCAGATTCAGTCATTCCCTTCATTCACAGAAATCCATTGTCAGAGAAGCCTCACTTGACATAAGCTCGTAAAAGAAACAACAAAATGCCAGAACAATATCTGCCTCCTCAACTGCAGGACTATGAGGTCCTAAAGATCCTCGGCGAAGGTGTTTATGGAAAGGTTCTGCACTGTTTCAAGCCACAAACTACAGAAAGTGTTGCTGTGAAAGTCTTCAAGGCGGAGGGTCAGTGTTCTTTCCAGAGAGAGCTGATCATGTTCAACCACATCCTACAGTGTGACCTGGAGAACAGTAACATTGTCAAATTTATTGACGCCTTTGAATGGAACCGAAGCAGATGCATGGCCTTTGAAATGCTGGATTGCAGTTTACATGACTTTTGGATTCAGAGTAAGAGAAGCTTGTCTCTAAATGAGATCCAAATTATAACCCAGCAGCTTCTGGTGGCTTTTGTGACACTCAAAGACTTGCAAATAGTGCACACTGACTTGAAGCTGGATAACGTAATGATGATCAATCGCAAATATCAGCCATTGAAGGTGAAGCTTATTGACTTTGGGATGGCATACTTCAAGTCAGATCTGAAGCTGGGAACGTTTCATCAGCCTCATGCATTACGAGCACCAGAAGTCAACCTGGGCCTTCCTCTGACCGAAGCGCTGGACATGTGGTCCTTAGGCAACTGTCTGGTCAGCCTCTACCTGGGCGTGTACCCATTCTCAGGATCCTCGAGCTACAACAACCTGAGGACCATAAGCAAAGTGCTTGGGGCACCGCCAGATGAGCTGCTGGACAGAGGAATCTACACCAGGAGGTACTACTCAAAAGTGGACTATGGCTGGAGTTTTAAAACGCCATTTCAGTATTTCCAGGAAACACGCCAGGAGCCATTAGACTGGCCAGGTCCACTAGAAGATCAGGATTTGGACGAGGCCATTCTATGTCATCCTCTGGAAATGAAGTTCCCGGAGTTCAGAAACAGGATGAAGTTTCTGAACCTGGTAAGAAAACTTCTTCATCTCGACTTCTTAAAGAGGATCACCCCAAGTGAGGCTTTGCAACATGAGTTTTTAACTCTGGAATACTTGAAGGAGAACAACAAAGACATAATGACCTCTGAAGAACCCCTACAGGAGATGAACATCTGCCCTTCACTGGATTCCAAGTTTAAATCCATTGAATATATATCTTCAGTGAGTATTGAGCTGCATGAAGACTGTGTGAACTTCACTGAAGCTGAAATTGCAGAACAAACGGTACAGTCTGAGAGTGTAAAAGCAATGGACCAGTCTGTGGAGGTTCAGGTGGAGGTGGACTTCTCTGAGAGCTTAGAGAGTTATCGCCGGATTGAGGCCACTGAAGACATCTGCAGCCAGACAAAAGACAACAACAAAACAAAAACCAATCTTCCAGAAATCAGTGAAGTGCCTGAGAACCAGAGAGAGGAAGTACCAGTTTTAGAAGTGGAACTCGACGTCAGCAAGGAGAGGCCCGAAACCAGAGCTACTTGTCGTTCCAGTATTCGCCATTTGGTATCGGCGACCAGGACCCTCTGTAGAACTGCAGCAGCGTCCTCCAGAAAGTTGTTCTCACAGGCGAGAAAGAGGCACATCCTAAGTTGTCACGCTTGTAATTCCTCATCTCAATAAACCATTTGAAGCATTCTATTGTTGTTGGTATCGTTCAAGGCAAATGCATCAGAAAAATGGTAAGTTCTGGTATTAACACAACAAGGAACGGTTTATTGAAAAGTCTTCCTTGATTCATATATACAGTATGTACCACGTTTTTGTTTGATTATTGGATTAAAAAAAAGATTGTAAAGCCAATATAAAAAAGGAACACATTCTTATTAGCCACAAGCAAGTTCAGAAATATCTAAATTAAGAAATCCGACCATTCTCATTCCTGATTTTCAATAATCTGAGAGCCTTGTCATCTATTGTTCTTCAAAAAACCTTATCCTTTCTGAAATTTCTCTATTATATTGATTTTTCTAGCCACACCTCAGTAGCGGCGCTTCTGTGTCGGTTTTTGTTTTCTCTGGGTTCTATTCGTGTGCATGTGTTTTCTTTATGTGGTGAGCCCTCCTAAAACAGATGGTTTGGAGCTGAACTTGACTCGTAGGTGAACTGCCCTGCCCTCATCTGTATTTGCCTCTGTGTATTTTTCTTCCTGTGAAAGGCGGTTAAAGGCCTGTAATATAAGACACAAGCTCAGGCCGGTCTCCGCTGAATTATAGGCCGTGCTCTGTTCTCTCGAGTCAAGGCTTATTGTATTGTTCTGTATGTGATCCTGCTCCCAAATATCCTAAAGGGAAATCTTCTCCCAGTTATAGACAGGGCTATAGGAGATTTAGTGTTGGCCGAGAGTTTTATGGCATCGTCACTTGAAATACACTACTGTGCAAACAACAAACAGCCAAGAAAAAAAACAACAAAAAACGAGATAAGATCAAGTTTATTAATCTCACAATGGAGAAATGTACACAAATTGAATTGAATAAAAACATAGACCATAGTAATTATGTAAATTATATTTTTATTTATATATCAGTTTTCAGAGAGTCACAGGGCTTTACAATCGTGGTGGACTTCTCACTCCACACAGAGATGGGAGTACACAGGAGGCACATGCTAGACCTATTGTGCATGTTTTTAGTGGTAAAGGGAACCGGAACACCTGGAGGAAACTCACACAGTCACAGGGAGAACATGCAAACTACGCCTTGTATAGAAGTAGAATCGAAGCGCTAACCACTCTGCCCGACTCAACAATATTGCAATCATTAAAGAAAAAGATTATTTACCTTTTTCAAAAAACAACATTCTCAGAAACATGGCACGTTTTAGGTCTAAATACATTTATTATTATAACACATGCTCTCGAATGTATTTGTGGCTATTTTACATTTCTAAGTCATCTTAAACAATGTACATATTTTTAACATTTGATTTATGAAAAAATATTGTGTTTTTTTGTGCTTTCTTTATTGAGGCAAACAAGTGGCAGGTCTATCACCGCATTCAAGCATTTGAAAATAATACAGTATTGACAACAAAAAGTATTGTTGTCAAGTTGAACACATTACCTTCATTGTAATTGTCACATGGAGAACACTTATGTACAATGTCTCATCCAGTTAGACAATAAATATGTGATTTATGTATTTGTGAACATATCAAAGTCATCCTCTGTGATTCATTTTAACAGAGAAAGGAGAAAATACACCTAAATTAACTTGACAAGCCTTGATTACTGCCTGTGATTTGTTTTTAATGTCCAACACCGAGCACAGCATCTCCAACGTCTGGATGTAGAGCCGTCAGGAAGTTTTCAAAGACAAGTCGAGATTGCGGCCAAATATCAAACACTGCATTGTTTATCCACAAAAAAGTCCCCGGAAACAGGGAGCAGTACATATAGTCTTGGATTGTTTGCGCAGGGGGTTGCAGCCCACACAAGGTTTTATGAGTGTGTCGTGATGGGGGAAATAAAGGCGCCTCTCAGGGACGTCCGGGGAGCACTCTAAATCAGACCGAGAGGGATTGAGAGAGTGTCGTTGTCCTGGACACCTAAAGTGTCTCACACAAAAGCAGCTTTACAAGGTTCTAAATTTTCCTTCTTGAACCGCAGACTGCACATGCAAGATTGGATGACGGAATACCAAAAAATACTAGTCCAAATGTACTTGTATATGAAAATGTGAAAGCATAATGTATATTTGATATTTAAAAAACCTTTCTTCTGGGATAAAGTGATGTAACACAGACCATAACAGTTTATTTTTTAATGAGCTGTTCTCTGATCTTACAACACATAAAACAACAGAAACCCATCACTTTAATGTTAGTAAATCACGTTGTAGTCATTGACATACATTTTTCTCGTCGGCACTGTTGGATTTGATAGCACAAATGCTAAATGGATGCTCTGCTGTAAATCTGGTAGACCACCTCTGTGCCAATTGAAGGAAACACGTAGCAATCATACATTATTTGTGGAAAAGTGCTTTGAATTGATTTATGTGGAGTCAAAAACAGGTCTGATTGAATGAGTAGACATTTACCTGGACTTTTTGACCAGTCAACAAAGTAGTGGCAATTTTCCATCTAATTCTGAATGATTTTCTCCCACGGCTGCTGCATTTAGCCTCTTCTCTCCCCACTTTAGTGCAGACCCACCGGTATTGGATGTGACTTGGCTGTGCTGTCTGAGTATTACCTTTGATTTGGATGTGTCAGCCTTGTCCACACTCTTGTAGCCCCCCGCAGTCACTTGTGTTTGTCTCATATGTCAACGTGAAGTGTAATTTTGAGATCAGGAGTCAGCCGCTGCGTTCAGTGCTGATAATTGTGATTGCAAAGTGCTAATGAAGATGTGTTTGGGTGTAGGAGGAGTGCCAGAACTACATCAGGGTGCTGCTGGTGAACGGGAACCGGCTGTTTACCTGTGGGACCAATGCCTTTACCCCCATCTGCACCAACCGCACGGTAAGGTCTGCTTCTACAATAATAAGCCCAATTAGCAGCAGAGCATGTGCAGCTTCAAATGGTTAACCCTTATTGGTTTCTATTCTAGGAGCCTTGACAAACTCAGAAGGTTTTTTTGTCCAGTGGTGCGTGCATTGGAGGAAGGACAGATTACCAGATTACACCATGGCTATATGGCTGAGGGATCAACGTTGCATGTTTTATATAACATAAAATAATGTATAAATATGCTAGTTTACTTCAACATGAGAGAAACAACCTTGCCTCCCACCTGTTGCCACATGCCGGTTAAATGAAGCCTGTGTAAATTGTAATTAGCAGATGTCATTGAAGAAACCTCGCAGAGCCTTACATTATTAATATATTTGTCATTTCCCTGGACTAATTGATACATGGGCGTCCAAGTAAATAAGCGTAATGCATCATGATGCTTTGACAGTGATGGCTGATGGAGCAGGATGGATGAACGTCACAATGTCAGAGACAAAGTCGTGAGCAATAACAGGATTCTCTCAGTCTGTCTCTGTGGACGGAGGAAGACACAACTATTTCTCACTGTTTAGATGCCTCTAAAAATTATTCACAATCTTTTTTTTTTTTCTCAAAATACAGGTCGGATTCTGCTCTCACTGATTTAACCCAGCCTCACATGCCACACAAGCGTTTAGGAGCGGAAAGGCAAGCGCATAGAGTGAATAGATCCAACGTGTTTTCAACATTAGAAGGGCAGTTTGACAGTTATTCAAGACTTTCTTTTTTATTCCATAAAGTCTGATGGAGGTCAAATCAAACCAGCCCAGATGCACATGACTTTGGTTTGTCTGTGCTGTTCTGTCCTCTACACTTCTCCTTAGACTTCACTGGGACAGCAGCAGCTCTGTAATCGTTCTGCAAGCCTGGCCACTGACAAGTGCATGGCTATTGTTGCGTGTGTTGTGTGTTTTGGGGTAACTCACCACTAAATCTTCTCCTTATGAGAATCCAAGTCGGAACAACCGTAGATTTCTTCCGGGTGCTCCGGTTTCCCCTACCACTAAAAACATCAACATCTGGATGGGTCCCGGGCGTTTTAGTGGCATTTTCAGGTTGGGTCAAATGCAGAGAACAAAGTTCTCTACAGGGATAAATAAAGAGCATCCTTATAATGTAGAAAATAAAGAAAATATGAGCTATATAAGAAACTGATTGAAGATGTGTTTCTGTGCAACTATGTTGCAGGTATTTTGACTCCTATAGTTTACTCTTTGTTATTGTATTGTTCACTCCTAAACTCCCAAAATGACAAATCTCCAACTGTACACACCTCACCGCTCAAAGGCCTGAGCTCAAGAGCCTGTGCAGCTCTGGGCGAGTGCTGTCGACTTTACTGTGATCATGACATTTGTTTTTGACCACGAGCACTGCATCCAAAGGTCGGAGGCTCGTAATGAGTGTTTACTGCTGTGAAAACATATATAGTTGAAATGCCATGACATTACATCCAAGTATTATATCAAATAATGTGTCATATTTGCACTCTGAACGCTTCTTAATGGGAAACAGTAGGGCTCAGCGAGGCAGTCGATCACATTAAGATAAATTAACTTTAAACACCAGCGATGGCTGATTAGTTTAAGTTGAGCATTAAAGAGATGTTAATTTCTCTGTGTCTCCGTAATTGCCACTTGTGTAATGCAAGCATATGCGTGATAGTAACAGTCATAAAGGGAACGTGAACAAGGCTTACTTACAATACTTGAATATTTATCACATATATTGCAACATAAAGTAGGAGCAAACAAGGGGGACCCGGTTGCATTAATATAAAGTATAAGTTAAGCCCATGGTGCTGAGGTATTTAATGGGTTGGACCAGCAGGACTAAACTATTTGATGGGTAACCGAGGGAATGATTGAGAATATTGAAATGACCAAATGTATTTTATTCTATGAAGATTCTAATTTGCATAAGACAACAATGACACAGGTTTTTTTCACTGAGGAGGCAGGAGGCCATGTTAGTTAGTTAAATTTGAGTTTGTTTAACTTTGTATATTCACACATGCTCATACCAAAGGCCCACGAGGGTCCGAGGACATCTTACAATAAAGAACACACTCAGGCCAATGCTATGGTCAGTGTATATATATCTTGTAATGTCAAATATAATAGCAAAAAACATTGTTTTGAATAACCTGATATCACCGAGTGATTAACAGTCAAGGATCACTGTCAATGTTTACATTGATCCTGGGCTAGAGAAGAGTTAGGATTTGGATTAGGATTAGGGTTAAATTTAGGGCTAGGGTTCACCATGGTTAGGGTTAGGACCAGGGTTAGGTTTAGGATTAAGAATAGCGTAAAGGTTAGGCGTATGACTTGTAACTGTGATCCTGGACTGTTGTGAGATCAGATTGTGCCAATAACATTTCAGCTAATGAAACATGTGTTTAACAAAAATTAAATAACAATAACATTCTCCATCCTGAAACAGAGCAAAACATTTGAAAAGAAATCCGACACTATCATTTTGACAGAATTACATTTATATTACGTTTTGAATACAGGAACATATCATTTTACCCCAGTAACTAGTTATATGTATTTTACAATTGTATAGCCCACAACAGCTTTTCACCACTGCACAATTTATACATGACTGTCATTTTAAAGTGAAAACTTCCAGCTGGACTTGAAATCCCCCAAAGCATTAGCAGATGTGTGATTGAAGCCATAACTGACCACAACATCCAACAGCTTCTCCACACTTAAACATGCGTCCAGCAGCAGAGGCGATAAAGCCCATAGTCCTCTTTATGTCCTTGTGCTGCGGCTGCATTCTCGTCTGCACCGACCGGCTCGTTCTGCAACCCCCCACCGGCGCGCAGCGTGGACTGTCTCCACTGTGAAGCGCCTGTCTGAAATCCTCCATCACAACCTTTTTAAGTCACTTCAATGCCCCTCCTCTGCCTCTGCAGCTGCCGGCCGCTCCACAGAGGCAACTTTCATTCCGCTTCATACATATTCACATTAGCCAGCCAGGCCTCCATCTATTTATCACTTTTTTGTGCTTGGCTAAATGACACTATTGACCTAGACATTACTAATTCTGGATCTTTGGCTACCACTATCAATCCGAGGTTTTCATCCCTTTTGGGCCGGATAGTGCTCTGACAAGGATGGTGTTGGGTTGACTTAATAGACCTCTTTATCCAAATGGAGTTGGAAGCTGGCTGTGGAATCACCTGTATCCACAAAGCTTTCTGGATATTTTCCTTCAAAACCCACTGCTAAACTTCTTCTAAAGCGTTTACTTTAGCGCCATAAAAAATAATAACATCTGCTTCTCGGTCCAAGTTGAGTCACTCTTGCCTATTCCCTAAATCTAAATTCTGTTGGGGCTAAACCAGGGTCATGCTGTTAAAAGTATTTTTAAAAAGCATAGCGCCAGAGTCGGGTTCAAATTCAAAGCAGGAATTTAAAGCCTGCTCCAAATTCTCAAAAGACGAGGAAAACTCCTCAAACTTGTGGTTTAATAATTATACAACAAGACGAACAGCTGCATGTCCAGGACAAACTTCAACAAAGCTCGCGGAAGGAAGTGGACTTTAATTTAAGACTATACCGAAGCCTTGGATTCATAGCAGGTGGTTTCCTACATCGGCAACATGAAGACAGCTGTTGGGATTGCGTTTATATTGTGCTAATGATTCGCAATGTTTTTTTGATTATCTTCCTTGTTCTTGAAGCTTTTGCCTCCGATTTCCCTCTGTGTTGAAGGGAAACCAAACAAAACATAATGAGATGAGGTATTTTTGTCAGTGCATTTGCATACAGGCAGAAACAAACGCTGGAAGACTTATCTGCTTTGCATTTTAATGTTGCCCTTTGCTTCTGTGTGCTATATTTTGATCTAGATTTCTCCTTCAGTAATCCATTAAAACAAATTGTATCGTATTGCATGTTATTGTTTTTCCATCCGGGGATATGAATGATTATATTCGCTCCATGTCTGCCTCCTGTCACTTGTGATTTTTCACTTCCCATTGTGAAGAATAGGCTACCATCCTGTGATAATTGCTCTTTTGTGTTGCAGCTGACGAATCTGACAGAGATCCATGACCAGATCAGCGGCATGGCACGCTGTCCGTACAACCCCCTGCATAACTCTACGGCCCTCATCACCTCCAGCGGGGAGCTCTACGCGGCCACGGCCATGGACTTCAGCGGACGAGACCCGGCCATCTACCGCAGTCTGGGAGGTCTGCCGCCACTGCGCACTGCCCAGTACAACTCCAAGTGGCTCAATGGTGAGGGCATGGCACATACTGTACATGTTATATGTTATTATTATTATTATGAACAGTGGTCTGTGTCTTACAATAAGCAGAGGTGACAGAAGTGCAAGGCTTCAGTGCTAGGCTTGGGTACCTCATTGATTAACTAGTTTATGATATAATCCATCAAACCAGTTTCTCATTCTCAAATCAGTTTGACTAATGTGTTAATGTTTGGCTCTGAGAGGACCACACTCACTCACTCAGCTCGTAGCCCTAAAGGTCCATTAGTGACTCTCAGGGATCTTTATTTCATGTATTCAAAAAGTTGTGGTCTGATTCTTCACATCATTTGACTTTCTGTTTTTGTATGAAAATATCGAAACAATAATGAGATGATTATCCTCCGAAAAAGTTAAAAAAGTTTAGTTGAAGTGAATCCCATCTTTCAAAAAAACATTCTTAATCTTAATTCTTCTTCTGAAATCTTTTTTCATTAAAACTAGGCATTTGTTTGGACCAAATTTAGTGTTTGCTATTATTTGAGATATTTTAAGCAACACTTTTGAAACATGTGAACAACATTATGTAGAAATTATGACGATGAACAAAATATGTAGAACTTATGCAGAATGGGTACCTGGACTTAGAAGCGCGGCTAACCACAATGCATTCATTGACGACAACATCTGAAAAGGCATTTTAAATTTACAGAGATGAAAGCGTTAAAAGTTAAAAGGGTTAAAAGTTCAACATCTTCAAGAAAGAAGAAGAAAGGAGTGAAATAAGAACTAATACATAAAATAACTAAAGCGCATCACAAAATATTATTTACTCCTCTGACAAAAAGCAAGTAAACACAAATGAAGAAGAGGCTCGATACCAGGACTGAGTTTGAACTTGAGGTTCTGTTTTGTGGCGACACGTGTCACCCACTCATGCCTTCGTTTGGTGGTCGCAAGGGTCCATGGTGCAGGTGGACCACAAAATGCTTTTAACGCATGCTTTTACCAAACACACAGTCCAATGATTGCTTACATCCATCCATCCATTTTATTTCCTCTTAATCCATTACCGGGTCACGAGGGCAGCAGTCTAACCAAGGACAGCCAGGCTCCTATCCACACACTCCTCCACCAGCTCCCACTCACCCTATACGTTATCATTCAATATGTTGTTTTCTGACAGTTAATCAGACAAAAAGAGCATACTAATAATTGTAAATAAAAAATAAAATGGGTAACGCTTTATATTAAGGTGTGCTTGTTAAGTATTAATAAGGTATTAATAGACATTAGCAACATGCTTATATATTGCTTATATGTACTTATAAACATATTAATAAGCTGCTCATTTCACTATTCTCTAAATGATGTTGTTCTAGTTATATGCTTTTAAGCATTTAATAAGTAATTAGTAAGATACTTATTAAAGGAGGAATATGTTTATAAATATATGAATAAGCTGCTTATTAAACTATTATCGATACCATGTTAATAGGCCACTAACAATATGCCTATAAAGATTTTAATACGCTGCTTATTAATAGGCAATAGTGGTAATAGGCCACTAAAAATATGCGTTAATAAACTGCTTATTACACTATTTTGCAGTACCTTAATCTGAAGCGAGGAGCATTTTTCTTAATGCAAAAAAAAACACAACAATGATCTAAGATGTTTTTATTTATTCAAACAGCAACAATTAAAGTCTAAATGAAAAAAAATATCAAAATTAAGTTTGTGCCAAAAGTTTGTTAGTAACTTCAAGGAGCCATGAAAACAGTGAATCAACTGACTTCACGAGCCTGAGAGATTAGCGAAACTCGCCTATTTTTGGGCATCGTCTGGTCCTCCCGGTTCTGCGCAGTGGACGAGCTCCCATGATGCTTTGCGCCAAATACGCTTGCGTGGCTCTCATGCACGTGCACAGAGGGGCCGTGCTCTGACCAATCAGAGCTGCTGATCAGAGCCAGACGAGTAGAGTTTGTGGCCGTAAAATGTGGATTTAAAGGACAACTCACCCTCAAATCCACTTTTTTTTTTTGCTGATAAACGGTATAAATGAGTGTCCAATAGTGTTGTCTACATATCCTGGTCATAATTTTGTCACGTTGGTGCAAATTAGTTGAAAGTTCTACTTTCTGCCTAAAACCATCTGTGAGGCGCCATCTGCTGGCGACCTGTATTACTACATTTGAATTTTGAATCTGGCGCCTGAGACCTGACGTCAGCAGCCCCCCGCCCAGAGCTATATAAACGGCCCAGTCTCGTTCACGCCCCCTTTAGTCCTCCAGGCTACGCCCATTTAGAGGAAGATTTGAACAGGAAATGTGAGTGACGTAAGCTCCGAGGAGCGGGGGTGAGAACCACTTTAAAGAAAACTGAAGGATTTAAGAAGAAAAAAAGTTCAGGATGACAAGGGACACTAAAATCCCCAGAAAATCCGAACTTTATGAAATCTGTGGGTTCTCTGTCAGGTTCTCTGTCAGCTGAGGTCGAGCTGTTTTAATTTACATTGAGTTCTATGGGACTTTTTCTGGGTAGCCCTCGTGAATTTAGTCTGCAGTACCACAGCGCCCCCTGTGCCCATGGGTGGGACAGCTATAAGCTAGGAATACACTATCCAGTTATTATTATAGTTCCATGGTTGTGCCACAGGTGCGTTGTATACATGGATCTATTATAATAACTGGATAGGGTATTACTAGCTTGTAGCTCGGGAGATTCTCGTGGTACTGCAAACTAAATTCACGTGGGCTACCCAGAAATTGTCCCCATAGAACTCAATGTAAACTAAAACAGCTCGACCTCAGCTGACAGAGAACCTACAGCTTTCATAAAGGTCGGATTTTGTGGAGATTTTAGTGTCCCTTGTCATCCTGAACTTTTTTTCTTCTTAAATCCTTCAGTTTTCTTTAAATCCACATTTTACTGCCACAAACTCTACTCGTCTGGCTCTTACTCCCGCTCTAACTCCCACTCTGATCAGCAGCTCTGATTGGTCAGAGCGCAGCCCCTATGTGCACGTGCATGACAGCCACGCACGCGTATTTGGCGCAAAGCATCATGGGAGCTCGTCAACTGCGCAGAACCGGGAGGACCAGACGATGCCCATAATAGGCGAGTTCCACTAATAGGGGTGTGACAATACTTTCTCCCGCGATTCGATTATCGATATGCATTTGCCAAGTATCAATATCAATTTTGAAAAAAAAAAGAAAAAATGTTTTTTTTTTTTAATTGGTATTAATACTTAATATATGGATACATTACGCATCTCCATTCTATTTATCATGAAATAAAGATTAATTTTTATTTTATTTATGCCATAAATTGGCATATTGTATATTTCTGACCAATATATCAATAATCGTCATATCGTGATAAAATTGTTATTGTAATCTTTATCGTGAGCTTTGTATCGTGTATCGTATCGTATCGTGAGGTACCCTTAGGTTCCCACCCCTGTCCGCTAATCTCTCAGGCTCGTGAAGTCAGTTGATTCACTGTTTTGCCAAAGCCAAATTCAAGCAGGGTGGAGCATGAGTGGGGGCATCATGGCTCCTTGAAGTTACTAACAAACTTTTGGCACAAACTTAATTTTGATATTTTTTTTCATTTAGACTTTAATTGTTGCTGTTTGAATAAATAAAAACATCTTAGATCATTGTTGTGTTTTTTTCTGCATTAACAAAAATGCTCCTTGCTTTAGATTAAGGTACTGCAAAATAGTGTAATAAGCAGTTTATTAACGCATATTTTTAGTGGCCTATTACCACTATTGCCTATTAATAAGCAGCGTATTAATATCTTTATAGGCATATTGTTAGTGGCCTATTAACATGGTATCGATAATAGTTTAATAAGCAGCTGATTCATATATTTATAAACATATTCCTCCTTTAATAAGTATCTTACTAATTACTTATTAAATGCTTAAAAGCATATAACTAGAACAACATCATTTAGAGAATAGTGAAATGAGCAGCTTATTAATATGTTTATAAGTACATATAAGCAATATATAAGTATGTTGCTAATGTCTATTAATACCTTATTAATACTTAACAAGCACACCTTAATATAAAGCGTTACCATAAAAGGTTCATAAAAAATTAAAAATCCTACAAAAACAAAGTGCATTAATTTATTTTAGTTTCTTCTGAGTTTTCTGTTGAAATTACTGTGTTGCCTAGCACTGGAATCTGTAAAATATCTTGTTTAATTCAGCCTTAGCTTTGAGAAAATGAATGAATGCACCTTTAGCGGCGTGTGGATAATACTGTGACACAAAAATGACTTTAAAAATACTGAAAAAATGCCTTTATTCACTTGTTCGTAACAGATTTAAGGAATGTCTATTTAATTAGATGTCCTGTTGAAAATCTAAAAAAGCATTTATGTGATTTATTTAGTGCTTTTTAAAATGTGTCGCTTTTATTACCATGGAAACTACTGTGTATATGTAACGGTTTGCTCAAACTACATTTTGTTGAAGCAAGAATGTCATTGTATCTAGTCCTTGGTCGAGACTGAAGAGGGCCCAGCCTAAAATCACGGGATAAGAGAGAAAAAAACAACATTAAACTTGTTCTTTGGAATGAATAAAAGCAATTATGTTTAACAGATTTTTCAGTCCAAGTCGGTGAATAGCGTGGGGCGTAACACATGCATTTACAGCTGAATTAAACGATTGTCTGAGAGGATGAAACGCTAGTGTTCAAGATCCAATACAATCATACCTGTACACAAAAGCAGCAGTGAGATCGTGTAAGTCGGGTTATGCGTTTGTAGATGGGGCCAGAGCTATTATGTATCGGTCATTTCTCACTGTAACCTTTGGGTTGTAAGGAAAATGAAAAATGAGTTTTCCTATTACAGCACAAGTCCATTAATAACAGGGCTGCACTTGTTAATTCTGATGCCCCACTGTTGTGTGGGCCCCTCACAGCGAGAGTCCATCAGTCATACCTCAGTGTCGCACTCCCACAAGCTGAAATACCATTATACTGCTTTTCCAGCTTTCTCTCCTCATCCATCTCGCCCTGACCCGTCTTCTCCGTTGCCGCCTTAACACCTTCTTTATTTTTTTGTATTGTATCGCAGAACCTAACTTCGTCTCCTCCTACGATATCGCCAACTTCACCTTCTTCTTTTTCCGGGAGAACGCGGTGGAGCACGACTGCGGCCGTACGGTGTTCTCTCGTGTGGGCCGCGTGTGTAAGAACGATATCGGAGGAAGGTTTCTGCTGGAAGACACGTGGACCACATTCATGAAAGCCAGACTCAACTGTTCCAGGCCCGGAGAAATCCCCTTCAACTACAACGAGCTGCAGGGGACCTTCTACCTGCCCGAGTTGGAGCTGCTCTACGGCATCTTCACCACCAACGTGTGAGTGTGCGGAACCGTCACATAAACGCCAATGTTTCCCGACCTGTTATCCCTGTGACACCTCCTCGCCACCGCAGCCACGGCACAAGAACCCCCTGGTGTTTGTTTAAGGGAAAACAAATCACATGCCCCAGAGATCAAACACCTTCTGTAGGCTTTACTGTTGCCAAGACATAGGCAAGGCAGGCAAGGCAAGTTTATACGTATAGCACAATTCATACACAAGGCAACTCAAAGTGCTGCACAAAACAAGATAGACAATCACACAAGGCTTTAAAATCATAAATAATAAAAGTTCAGGTAAAATCTCTACTTTGTATGCATAGCTAAACCTGGATTTAAACATAGTCTATCAATCTCTAATATTTTATTTGTGGAAAGGTGTTTTTAATGTACAAATATCGTATCATAACTCATCTTTTCCGTCTGATTATTTTATGCATATGTCATTTTTTCATTATTTATGCATTTTGACATTTATTTTGCCGTTACTTAACCTGACTTTTAGATTTTTTCTGACCAAACTTCAACCAAAAGTAAAGTAAAGCTGGGGTACTTAACTTTCACACCACAGAAATAGAACAATGTACAATAATCCATGTTACTAGTTCCTTATTTTTTGGCCTTTTATCGACAAACAATTCTGTTGTGACAAACAACACACATTATTATTATGTTAAAAAAGTTGGGTACCCTAGCTTTAAACGCATAACTTGAAGAACCTTTTTAAATTTCTGCTTGAGTATTTTTATTCTATTTCCATCTCGAAAACATCAGCACAACTGATTCCATTCAATCAAAAACAAATAATCAATGTCACCTTTTTTCACACATCAGTTTCGCAGCCACTGAATCTTTTCCTCATTTTCACGTGAGGTGGATGTGCATTTGTTGTGCCGTTCCTAATCTACCACTGGCCTCATGTTTTATTCAGCGTTCTTCACGTTACCCAGCGCGGTGACAGCAATCTGCATTTACTTGACACTTGACATTTCACACAACGCTCACACATTGAAAACGTGTGATGAAGTTGTTTACACTCGGCTTCCCAAATGTATCTCTCATTTTCAAACGTGTGCTTTATGAGAATCGCCAGAGATGCATCGACCTATTAGAACGCGCAGTTTAGTATTTGAAAGTATCGCAGGAGATATGTCTTCTACACAAAGTGAACGATAGAGTTTTACGGGCTCCGCTTTAAAATCATTGTTTGAAATTGGAAACATCTCTCCTGCAGGCACAGATTTTAATAACTCACTTCTTGGAGGGACGAGGGCAGCAACTTGTTGAAAGCGACAGTTTCAAAAGTCAAAGTCGTATTTTCGGTGGAGGCCCTGTAGTCTTCATCAGAGAGTAGAGTAATTTTACTGTAATGCTGGATGTAGGCCCCTGGAGTAAGTTTTTTTATGTCCTCTCTTTTCAGCCATCTTGATAAAAGACAAATCAAGCATTATAATGTTTGAATAAAAGGTATGTAAGAGGGTTTTCCAAAATTTTAGGAAGGAATCACCCTATACACCTTTTTAAAAAACTCTCTGGTCTTGTTTGACCTAATGATTGACAATTGGGAGGACCAATAGTCTTGATGATCCACCCGGACGTCAAAATCCTCTTATATATCTTTAATTCTAGCTATTCTAATCAAAGCAAGTAACTTTTTTTATTAAATCCACAACATATTTTTACTTTCTTATTCAGTTATTAATTTTAGTAGTTCACATTGATTTGTATGTAAATGTGGGGGGAAAAAATTGAGAAATGTTGGTGATTTTGCCTTTAGTTCAATTTACAGCGCTTAACTTTGTATTTATTTCTTTTGCAATTGAGAACTGTCATGAAATCACAGTACCTTGGCAGCCACAAAGTAAAGTTTGTAGCTGTGGATCAAAGAACGTTATTTTCAAAACTGTTACTCAAAGTTTGGGACACACATACAAACAATTCAATTTAATCAATTCAATTTAATCAATATTGTATAGCCCTAAATCACAACAGCAGTCATCTCGAAGGGCTATACAACGTCGATTTGTCAACAACAGATTTGAGAATCGAACACAGAAAATGCAATAATAACAAACACGTACAGAAGCCATTGGTCCATAGGGGGCGGATGACATACAGAATATTGTGGTATATTGAGTCGAGATAGAGATCAGACTATCCAAACCCTCCTGTGGACTTGGACTGGGACACTGTGCTCCTGTAAATCCCGGAGCAACCACAGATTCTCCTGATATGTGTATCGGACTTACTTAACACCACATCCACACACCAACATGAAGTGTGTGCCAAGGTGGCTCTGTGGGGACCTACTTCCACTGCCTCTCCGACAGCGAGTGAGGAGACTTTTGTTGACATTGTGCATTTCAGGGCTGTGTACTAAATAAACTGATTTTGAGATGTATGTATAAATTTAGCATTATATTGTTGTTGTCCTTGACCTGTCTGTGTGTGTCTGGGTTTTGTTAAAATCTCATAAATACCTCTTTGTTTGTATGGACATGTTCCTTTGACGATAATCTACACAATATGCGATAAATCTGATGATATTCCATGGATATAATTCACATAATACTTCAATTGAATCATGGAGAATGTAATGTACAAACTCAAATCTTAATATGTTATTGTATAGTTTATTTATAAAGCACAGTTCATACACAAGACAACCAAAAGTGACCAAGTGCTTAACAAGAAACATTCAAATCATAACTAACTGTTTAATATCTCTTCATAAGTTTCATATCGGTTGTTTGAGTCTGGTCTGTACTTCTTTGCCTCCTCCCTGGGGTCAGTCTCAGCAGTGTGTGTGTGTGTGTGTGTGACAGTGTGTGTGTGTGTGTGACAGTGGCCAGTCTCCTCTGTAATAATCTTTTTGTTGCTGGTCACAGGAACAGCATCGCGGCGTCTGCAGTGTGTGCCTTCAATCTCAGTGCCATTTCACACGCCTTTAATGGACCCTTCAAGTACCAGGAGAACTCCCGCTCGGCCTGGCTGCCCTACCCCAACCCCAACCCGGACTTCCAGGTAAAAGCAGCTGTCTTTGCCCTGTCTAAACATTCAACTGCAATAACCACATCAGAAATATTAGACCTTCAATAATAAAACATCAGGAAGTGTTTGGTGATGGACAAGCTGTCCATAGGTTTTTCCAAAGCCATTTGCATGATATTATCCCGCCTTTACATAATGTACTGTATATGTTGAAATACTCACAAGTGTTAGCAAGAAGATGTTAGCCAAACAAATGACTATTGCTCTATATACCCCCAGGACTATAGAGTTAAACAAAAGAAATGAAGAACTCACTCTGATTGTGAATGAAACTGACAGTACAGTGTGTGGTATCGGGAGAATGATTGCCTGTTTTGGATTCGCATACATCAATGTGAGCTTAGCTCAGTTGAGCCGTGTCTCAAAACCCAGTAAGCCACTAATTCCCTTTAATTCTCTCCCTCTCTCTCTTCAGTCACCTGCCTCCTTTTGCACATAAACAGACGTTAAGTACCACTGTCTATAAAATATTCTGTCATTTTTTACAATAGTGCAGGCATACATTTTAATAAGGCTTATTGCATTATAAAGTCAGCTGCAGACCCTCTTGTAAACTCCTCTTGTTTCTCAACACAGGCACTTTGTGTTTATGCACCTAGAGATATAAATGCGGTCTGGAAGTGTGTATTAGTGTGCAAAGCAGCTCTCGGTCATAACAGGCTTATTGTAGATAAGCAAAGCGCTGGTCCTCACTCTGTTATAGCAGAGAAGATTTCTTTGGAGCATACTATGAACCAGTTATGGGCCTAAAATGCATATTTCAAACCACAGTACACAGTAGTATATCCGTCACCTCTGCCCTCCTCCAGGGGCAGAGCTTTTGTTTGTTAGTTAGATACTGTCATTGCTGAAAAAGTGATGGGCAGATTTTGGTTTTAACGTCAGTATAGAGTACAAGGAACAAGTGTGTGCACGTGACTGAATGTGCACGAGTATGGATTCTGACTGGGCAAAGTTATACGAGCTGAACAATAACAAAAACATAGGCCTCATATTATCATAAATTAAAACACTAACATTGATATAATGTCAAAAAGTCACAGGTTTGTTTCCCTCCCTCTGTTGTAATTATTGAGGTTTGACTATACTTATCTAACACCCCATGCCTAATCCCTTTGTTTCTCTGTATGTACTTTTTCTCTCTATTTTTCATTGAATTTTAAGTTTGCAGAAGCCTATGTGTAAATGGGAAATGAAGTGTGATTAGATAAGTTCTTGTCTTCCCACTCTCTTTCAGGCAAATGTAGATGTTTTTTGTTTAATAACAACTTTGCTGCTCCTATTTTTGTCTGAAATGAATTCATACATACATTCATTCATAATCTTTATTTAATACATAAAGATTACTAACTTACTTATAATAATGCAAATAATGTAGAAATTAAAAATGTCAACACTGTCCAAAAAAGTTATAAGCAAGCAGTATTGCAAGCAGTATTACTTTTGAAATAAAGTAAATACGGCAGAAACTTCTTCAGAAGGAATCATAAATCAGTGAGGATATTACTTTTCCAGAACTTTACCAAAAAAGGAGCCAGATTTTCATGACTTTTTCAGTAAAACCCAAATGTATTACAATTGTTGCACCATTTTCAAACCAGTCAAAGCACAACTAACATCTTTTCTTCACGTACCATCATTTCCTCACTATAACTTTCTAGTGCCTTGCATATTCCGTCCTCTTTTCCATAGCTCGAGCTGCATTCTCCAGCCTGCCATGCATTCCCTGCCGCTGTTACTCAAGGATAAGCCGGTATCTGTTCCCCTCTCATCCCTATCTCCTCTCCGAGACACGCACACAATGGTTCTCCTCGCCACTGGACCGGCGCGCACTTTATCTGGCTTTCGGTGACATCTTCATCAAGTATTTGTCAATGTAGTGGGATTAGATTTACCGGGCAGGATTTATGGCCTGTCTAAAAAACACCTACATGTATGCGCACAGCAAGGCCCAGGGAATCATATCCTTAGTAAAAAACCAACAAACAGGTTATTGATAGCGTCCAAATGGGTGTAATTATGACGCCTGAACGCTATACTTGCCATTGATTGAGAGCTTATTTCTCCGTCTGACAGCTGAGAAAATCCCCCATTTATTTGATCTGCGCAGATTGATCTTGCAGGGTTGATCCAGGCGTGTCCATGTGTGTAGATCTAGGACAAGTTGTGTGAACGCTTTTCTGTCACGTACAGTAATTACATGAGATGGAAAACTGTGCTGGTGGATGAACGGTTGAGATGCCTGGATATCCATTTCTAAAACATGAGTGTGTGACTAGTATTGATTTAAAGCTGGGTTCCTCACAAACAGGATTGACCTGAAATTTGGTGCGGAGATGTGATGGTGTTTGTGATGGTAGGAGAACCCCATTGAAATGTTGAGATAATCCATGGGTTTTATTGGCTGTAATTTAAATGAGATCAGAAAACGTTATTTTTAATGATAATTTTCAACTAGGAAGATCTGATTGGCTGTTAAATGGTGGTTACCCTTACTCTATTTTATCTGAAAAAGCAGTTTGAAAGGGTTTCTAACGGCTAAAAGATTCACGCACGGTAGTCAGCATTTTGTTTGATAGATTTACAAATAGATTTATAAACTAAATATAATATTTCAAAATATCAGTTTGAAAAGCCTTGAGTCTTCAGAAGTATTGCGGTAGAGCCTAAAATAGTTTATAATTAGCTGTTTGTTATGTAAGATTGGGTATACTAAAACATATTTTATCTATCTATGTATGTATTTGTTTGACAGGGACATTGCACAATAAATGTTCTCTTCAGACCAAACATAGCTGCGAGCTAATTTTCATCGGTCGTCCCTGGGCAGAGGCAAAGTGAGCAGGTTTATAGTGTGCAAAGAATTAATAATAAGAATGGCCTAGTTAGCATTTAAAATGCACCCCCCCTCCCTCCCCAAACACAATGAAAGACACAATACCACTAGAGACACAATATATACAACACACAATTATTTACATCTGATTAATGACTGCACACTTAATTGTCTTTAGCCATGTTTTTAGGCTGAGGGGTAATTTACACCGTAGGCGTGACAGCGCGTAGACGTTACAGCACGTAGGTGTTACAGCACGTAGGTGTTACAGCACGTAGGTGTTACAGCACGTAGGCGTTACAGCACGTAGGCGTTACAGCACGTAGGCGTTACAGCACGTAGGTGTTACAGCACGTAGGCGTTACAGCACGTAGGCGTTACAGCACGTAGACGTTACAGCACGTAGACGTTACAGCACGTAGGTGTTACAGCACGTAGGCGTTACAGCACGTAGACGTTACAGCACGTAGACGTTACAGCACGTAGGTGTTACAGCACGTAGACGTTACAGCACGTAGACGTTACAGCACGTAGGCGTTACAGCACGTAGGCGTTACAGCACGTAGACGTTACAGCACGTAGGCGTTACAGCACGTAGGCGTTACAGCACGTAGGCGTTACAGCACGTAGGCGTTACAGCACGTAGGCGTTACAGCACGTAGGTGTTACAGCACGTAGGTGTTACAGCACGTAGGTGTTACAGCACGTAGGCGTTACAGCACGTAGGCGTTACAGCACGTAGGCGTTACAGCACGTAGGCGTTACAGCACGTAGGCGTTACAGCACGTAGGCGTTACAGCACGTAGGCGTTACAGCACGTAGGCGTTACAGCACGTAGGCGTTACAGCACGTAGGCGTTACAGCACGTAGGCGTTACAGCAATGTAGGCGTTACAGCACGTAGGTGTTACAGCACGTAGACGTTACAGCACGTAGGCGTTACAGCACGTAAACGTTGCAGCACGTAGACGTTACAGCACGTAGGTGTTACAGCACGTAGACGTTACAGCACGTAGACGTTACAGCACGTAGGTGTTACAGCACGTAAACGTTGCAGCACGTAGACGTTACAGCACGTAGGTGTTACAGCACGTAGGCGTTACAGCACGTAAACGTTGCAGCACGTAGACGTTACAGCACGTAGACGTTACAGCACGTAGACGTTACAGCACGTAGACATTACAGCACGTAGACGTTACAGCACGTAGACGTTGCAGCACGTAGGCGTTGCAGCACGTAGACGTTGCAGCACGTAGGTGTTACAGCACGTAGACGTTACAGCACGTAGACGTTACAGCACGTAGACGTTACAGCACGTAGGCGTTACAGCACGTAGACGTTACAGCACGTAGACGTTACAGCACGTAGGTGTTACAGCACGTAGGTGTTACAGCACGTAGGTGTTACAGCACGTAGACGTTACAGCACGTAGGTGTTACAGCACGTAGGCGTTACAGCACGTAAACGTTGCAGCACGTAGACGTTACAGCACGTAGGTGTTACAGCACGTAGACGTTACAGCACGTAGACGTTACAGCACGTAGGCGTTACCAGCATGTAGGCGTTACAGCACGTAGGCGTTACAGCACGTAGGCGTTACAGCATGTAGGCGTTACAGCACGTAGGTGTTACAGCACGTAGGCGTTACAGCACGTAGGCGTTACAGCACGTAAACGTTGCAGCACGTAGACGTTACAGCACGTAGGTGTTACAGCACGTAGACGTTACAGCACGTAGACGTTACAGCACGTAGGTGTTACAGCACGTAAACGTTGCAGCACGTAGACGTTACAGCACGTAGGTGTTACAGCACGTAGGCGTTACAGCACGTAAACGTTGCAGCACGTAGACGTTACAGCACGTAGACGTTACAGCACGTAGACGTTACAGCACGTAGACGTTACAGCACGTAGACGTTACAGCACGTAGACGTTGCAGCACGTAGGCGTTGCAGCACGTAGACGTTGCAGCACGTAGGTGTTACAGCACGTAGACGTTACAGCACGTAGACGTTACAGCACGTAGACGTTACAGCACGTAGGCGTTACAGCACGTAGACGTTACAGCACGTAGACGTTACAGCACGTAGGTGTTACAGCACGTAGGTGTTACAGCACGTAGGTGTTACAGCACGTAGG